AAAACTGCTCTCCAGGTCTCTGGGGTAGCTCATTTTAAGCCAGTATCACATGGTGCATTATATTTAGGGGACATACAGTACATGGTTCTTTCAAACCCATGGACAGCACTGTAAGAAACAACTGCAAGGGGTCTTCCCTACGCTGGGCAGCAACTTTCTTGCCACAGTCCCTCACCGGAGAAGGAACACCTGCTCCCAGGTCGTCTCCACCCCCTACTTGGTCCTGAGCACCCTTCAGCTCTATGCAGCCAGGCTGAAATGAACAGACACTGACAGATGACAGCTTCAGAAACTTGGCAGTCTCCCATTCCCCTGACCTCACTTGTCCCTAGCTGCAGCTTTTAAAGCAGCACCTTTTCAAGGGACATGGACACAGCCATCAGCAGCTGCCTCGCCATCAGCGGTGCCAGGAACTCTCTTCTGCAGCAGTGGCCTTTCTCCTGTGCCATTCTGGGTTTTCCCTCTCAGAGGTTGCAGGGCCCTTCACCTGATGGTGGCCTTTCTCATCTTCTTCGAAGGTGAAGATGTCCTCTCCACTTCCCGGTGTTCTTTCTCATGTCTACTCTATAGGTTCCTTTTCCCAGACCGTCACTGGGGGAAATGGTTGACTAGGTTTTTAATAAAGGGGGGGAAATACTGTAGTACAAAGAGAAGAAGAAGTGGGGGTCGGGGAGTCTGCTTGCCACTTGGTAAAAGGCTAAGCTTTTTGGAAGGCCTGCTGGGTACTTTTTCTCCCTCCTTGGGGCAGGGTGGATGGGTGCAACAATCACAGGTTTTTAAATAGGACTTGATTCAAATCCCTGCTCTATTCTTCATTGGGTAAAATCTTGAAGAAGTTATCTTCTATGATGGTTAATTTTATGTGTCACCACAGGGTGCCCAGATATTGGGGTCAAATATTCTTCTGAGAGTTTATGAGTGTTTGGGGAAGAGCTGAACATTTTAATTGTTAGATTGAATGAAGCAGATGGCTTTCCCTAGATTAGGTGGGCCTGGTGCAGTCCTCTGGAGACCTGAATAGAACAAAAATCAGACTGTCCTCCAGGAAGAGAGAATTCTTCTTGCCTGATTGCCTGCCTTTGAACTGAATGGTCTCTCCCTGGGTCTCAAGCCTGCTGGCCTTCAGACAAACTATACCATCTGCTCTCCTGGGGCTCCCAGGCTTGCTGACTCACCCTGCAGATCTTGTCAGCCTCTGTAATCTGGTGAGCAGATTCCTCATGAAACATCTATTTTTGCCTCTCTCCCTCTCCCTCTCCCTCTCTTTCTCCCCCTCTCTCTCCCTCTCCGTCTCTCTCCCTCTCCGTCTCTCTCCATCCTATAGGTTCTGTTTCTCTTGAGGATCCTAACCAACATGACCTCTTTCTTTTCTCTCCTTTCTCTCTTTCTTTCAGCACGTGAAAGGGGAATTATACCTACCCTCGGAGGGTTACAGATACTGAATTTATCCATCCATCATGGAATCTCATAATACATACCAGTTTGGCTTCCTTACCCTAAAACATGTCACCTGCTAAAAGCAGCACAGAGACTCAGAGTGGTTTCTTACATAATACAGAGAAATGATTGACCATTGCTAATTTTATTTTGTTAACATTCCCAAGACAATTTTCTACAAATGTCCCCTATTCTCTATATGAGAAAAGAGATTTAAAAATAAAATCAGTTTTTTTCAAGTTAGAAGATCTTTCCACAGTGATTTCTACAAATAATTATCAAACACCAACTGTTTGCCAGGTAACAAGACCAAAATGAATCCCTACCCTCACTGAGTTTATCAATTAGTCAACACACAACTCCCTACTCAACTCTTAGTGTGCGG